ATTGATGATACTGGAAATCATGGTCCCTTAATAAAAATGCCTATAAAGTAACACCAGGAGTTCCTTTTCCTTTTTTCTTGCTCCCTCTTACCAGAGATAGGAGATAGAAAAGACTGGGTGATAGCAAGTGAGAGAGTTCTTGCAGGAAATCCCAGAGGGTTGTACCTGGTCTTTGACAGTTCATGAAAATGCAGGGGATGTGAGTCTCATATCCAATGGTGAGTTTTTCACTAAATTCCTGTGATAATCAAGAGAGCTTACAATCGTCAAATTTGTCTTGGTGCGTTCTGGCATATTGGTCAAAAAGCTATTTTCTAAACTTTCTATTTCAACTAACAAAGTTAGCCTTTATTTCTGTGGCCTCAAAGTCACAGTAGATAGAAATGATGGGCACTAACATCCCATATATTAAAGTCAATGTCTCCATAAAACCTCCGATGAAATCATATAATCAATGGTTCAAACCATGGCCTGGATCTGGAAGTGGAAACAGAGTTTCAGTGAGATAGAGATGATTGAATTAGATGCCTCTAAGAAATGGCAGTATTTTTCAGAAGAAGGATTAAACCAGGGTAATTTCACTTTTGTTTGGTCTATAGAAGAACTAGACAAGGGAATACAATGTTTGGAGGGGGAGGGTGCCTAGATCATCCTTTGCCCCAGAGTCTAGAGAACGACAATGAAGGAGAGAAATCAAGGGGGGGGAAGAAGAGATAGACAGGAAATGAAAGTGGGCTGTAGTGAGGGGATCCAGGTAAATTGGTGGTGTACAGGAGTGGTTCTCTTGGGAATGTCCAAACCATAGAGTCAACAACACTTAAAACAAGAGATCCAAATGCCAGCAACCAAACTTAAAAATGTGCTTGTCAAGGTGGCAGGCTAGACATGAAGAGGTGGGTGGGAGGGACCTTGGAAACTCTGGTAGAGGGAATTTGACACTGGTGGTGGGTTTTATGCTGGAACATTGTATGTCTAAAACTCAACTATGCACAACTCTGTACATCATGGTGATTTAATAAAAGTTAAAAAAATGGCAGCATTTGAAAGCTTCAAATGAATGTACGTCCCATGGAGAAGGTGAAGAATTGGGAGGGAAGATAGATAGAAGCAAATAATGGGGAACATTAATACGAATTTAGGAATTGAAGAGAAGACTAAACAGAATTCTTTTTAAATATGAGAGACATAAAATGAACCAAGAAATAGGAAAAGAGAAAAGAGAAGATAAGTTTAGCAAGTGAAGGTGATGAAGAAACAAAGAAAACAAAAATGGAAGAATAAGAGAAATGAAAGTGGAAAAAAGGGGAGCACTGACAGACAGGCTCTGCGGCCCCCACATATTCAATGTAGTTATCCCTCAACTCCAGTGGCACCCGGGGGGGAGTCCCAGCACCACCCGGAGGTGTGAACTTTCTGTACTTCCAGATGTTCTTATTGCTGTGTGGACTCTTCCATGACCCACAGCCTGTCTCTTGGCAGTGATTCCCGAGTCTCTAGCCAGACTCTAGGCTCCAGACTGCTGGGAAAGTATTTTTAGAGGTGATTAGCAGTTCCCACCCAGGGCAGGACGGTTTACCTTCCACCATGTGGGTGGGTCCCATTCAAACATCTGAAGCCTTTAAGAGCAAAGATTAAGGTTTCCCAAGGAGGACCTCTCCCTGAAGATTGCAGCATTGGAACCTGACCCGTCTTTCATGTCTGAGTCCTTGCCTGATAGATTTTTGGAGTCAAGCCTGGACCATCTACTCTTACCTGAATTTCCAGTTTGCCAAGCTGCCTGCCATGTTTTAAGCTTGCCAGCCCCATAAACTGCATGAGTCAATTCCTTAAAATAAATCTCTCTCTCAATATTCTATGCTAATCATGTAATTGAATAAGATATAAAACATAATAAATACATAAAATGAGATTCATCAATATATCAATATTTTCATACAATGACCACAAATAATTTGCATGACTATTAATATATCTTATTGTGTATATGGAGATATATATTTAATTTTTAAATAGGGGAAGGTGGGCTACACCAGAGACACTAACAGGGGTGGGGTGTCAGGGTGTGGATTGTTGTTACTTGTCTTGATGAGTTAGTAGTCAGAGGCCTTCAGTGGGGACAGTACTTGGGGTATCACATACTGTGTGTGCTATAATTTGAGCTCCCTTCCTAACCACTTAAGACATCTTTCCATATCTTAACAGTGTATGCTAATATATTTTTATGTAATATTTTTATCACTTGAGCATTTGATCACTTGACATCCTGTTACTCATCGATTTGCTCGAGCAGGTGCCAGTAATGTCTCCATTCGTCCCTGTCGCGTGCTAGTGTAGCCAAATGGTGTCTGCTCGCTCCAGGAACACAAAGAGCCTCAAACCGATCATTCAGGGTCTTGACAAAGAAGTCCGACTATCTTGTAGATGGGAGGCAATGCGACCTTTTGATGTCCCGTGGAATCCAGTCACTAATGGCTCTAATCCAGCGGTCGTCTCAAAATCACATTACGTGTCCAGTCCATCTGATTTTCAATGCCTTTGCAAAAGAGACAGCATCCCTGATTCTTGACCGTGGATGGAGGTCAGAACTCCAGATTCTTTCTTTCATTAGAGTGAAGCATGATATTCCAAGCATAGCTCTTTTGATTCCTCTTTGGGAGACCCGAATAGTGTTCTCATCCTGTTTTCGTAGCGCCCAGGTCTCTGAAGCATATGTTCATGCAAGAAGAACAGTGGAATCGAAGAGATGTGCCCAGAGCTGGAGGTTCTTCATCCTCTTAGCTATTTCTTCAATGCTCTTGAAGGTGTTCCACACTGCTCTCTTCCTCCTGCGCAACTCAGGTGCTGGGTCATTTGCCATGTTGACTTCTTGACCTAGGTACACATAACTTTTGCATTCGGAGATGTTCATTCTGTTAAGAGTAAATGGAACATCAGGAAATAGACTGTTTCTCATAAACATTGTCTTCGTGAGATTCAGCTGGAGTCCGACCTTCCCACACTCACGGTCGAAGTCGGCCAGCATTTGTGCATTTTGGCTAATGTTTGGTGTTATTAGAACAATGTCATCATCAAAGCGGAGGTGGTGTGCTTGCCAAACATCTATCTTCACTCCCATTCCTTCCCATTCCAGTAGTCACATGACGTTCTTGAGGGTGGCACTGAAGAGTTTCTGTGAAATGGTATCACCCTGACGAACTCTTCTCTTGACATGGATGATCACTTCTTTGTAGAATGGTGAGATCCTGGTAGTGAATCCACAATACAGTTCACGGGAGGATCCTGATGTATTGAGTTTCAATGCCCTATTTGGCTAGGGCTTTGATGACTGCTTCAGTCTCAACAGAATCAAAGGCCTTCTTTAAATCAAAAAAGGTTAGACAGAGTGGCATCTTGAACTACCGAGAAACCTCAGTGAGCTTGGTTATCATGTGGGTGTAGTCGATGGTGCTGAATCCATTGCGGAACCTGGCTTGCTTGCATGGTTGTCCTTCATCTAGTGTTCTGCCAATCCTTTTCAGGATGACTCAAGTGAACAGCTTTTAGATGACAGAAAATAGGCAGATCAGGCGATAGTTGCCAATGTCGTGGATGTCTCCCATCTTGTACAGTAGAACAGTCCTGCTAGTTTTCCACTGGGATGGAACCTTGCATTCAGACAGGTAATATGTGAAGAGCCAAGCCAGTGTATTGACAAGTACTGACGGCAGGTTCTTCAAGTGTTCACATCTGACCTTGTCTGGGTCAGGTGCTGTTCACTTCTTTACCAATGAAATGGTAATAATATACAAATTATGTTTATGTACTGGTAGTTCATAAAAAATGATGTTCATTTATATCTCTCTTGTTTTAATGATAGATTCTAGAATATTAATATGTATTATGTATATAAGAAAAGATATATAGGATTATCTATCTTTCCATTTTTTTGAGAACTCTAGCACAAAAGGCCAATTTACAGAGTCACTTTACATCTATTTTCACCAGTAGATTGCAAACTCTATTAAATGCAGACAGTTTCTCATTTGTGTTTCTGTGCATGTTGACAGGCATATTTTAGACACATAAGAAATTTAATTTTAAAATTAATTGATGAGTAGGATTAACTTAATAGTCATGAATCGATGGGTCACATTTTTTTTTAATGAACACTGTGGGTCTATAAAAAATTTTGCCTCACTGATGACATTAGTTTGGCATCTGTTAATGAATGTGACTGCAGACTGACAGTCTGAGAAGAGTCCAAGTGGGAGGCAATAGCAAGGTGACACCAAGGAAAATGCAGTTGCCCCACACTCCTCAGAGTTACCCTTGATCCTTCTGATCACTAGATTTCTTTGATCACCAAAGCAGGCATGCAGCTGATCAAGTATTTCTTTTAATTTCTCAAAATTGCATTAGATCTTATTCTGAGCCTTTATCTTGTTGACTTTCTGGTCAATTCAACAACTTTCATCTTTTGGGGGTGAACTTTATCTTGGAGAAAGAAGGAGGTGAATACGGGGTAGGAGACTCGATTTAGAATGGCACTGTGGAATGTGAGATTCGGTTCCGCAGGAATTCAGCCTGTGGAGCCTCTTCTGAGTGGCAGTTTGTGCTTTGGTTCCATGCACTGACTTGGACATGTGAGATGTGGCCTAAAACCTCAGTGCTTAGTGCTCAGCCTGCTTGGGCAAGCCCAGAAAGTTACCCCAGAAAGTGGGACACTCATTTTTTTAATTTGCAGAGAATAACTCTTCTTTTTCTTGGAGCATTATCAAAAATATTCCCCCAACTACTCTGAAAAGTAAACTTAATGCCATTCTCTAAAAGGCAGAATGATTTTTTTGTTAAGCATCTTCAGCTCTCTGCCTAGGCAAGAAAATTCAAACAAATATACAAGGCATGGAAATACTGGTTTCTTGCATATCATATACAATGCAAAGAAAACATAGTGAGCCCCACATTTCAGAAAATCGGCCTTCTTCAGCTTGTTTTGCTCAATAATCAAAAGCAATACTTACCTTCTGAGCACTTTTCTATTTACAAGAAAACACAAGACTGCAACAATAAGATGAGTCATCAGGAAAGCTAATCCAATACCCAGGACAGTCCACAGATCTAGAAATTCAAACCAAGAGTTAAATATAAATTTATGCAGAAAAATAAGAAGACTCAAAAATTGAGCAAAATTTTAAGTCACCTACTATTATTCAGGGACAAGAAATCTGAACTTGGTGGGACAGACTGGATATGGCATCGATTTCCTCCCCATCCGTGTCCACATCTGGAAACAAGATGAAATGTCAGAAAAAAATGTGTGTATGTGTGGGAAACCAAAATGGAAACATTTTTAGCAATATTGTCTTAGAATAGGATGATGGACACCAATGAACAATGTGGGTTACCTTGATAAGAAACCAACAATCAAGTGAAATTAAGGATTATTTTCACAGTGTTGTGAAAGACAATCTTTCTTTTCATGTTTTTCTCCTTCTTTATCAATAGGGTGGGAACCTGGTTTCCTTTCTTATTTCCAAACTCTGACTTTTCTTTCACCAATGTTCAGTTACATATGCAGCATCATTTTATAAAAACCCCAGGTTTTTCAGTGAACAGAGTTTAGTCCTTTTTGATAGATACCAAGAGAAATCTTTCAAATTATACCTAACCTAGTCAGAAACCAGTAAGCATATTATTTCTCCTTACAAAGGGAAGATCCTTCAAAGTGCATGGATTTGGAATCAGCTTAATGAGCTCATTGGCCATATCAGCAATTACACTAGTATTTTGTTATTTTTGCTTATTAGGGACATGCATTAGAAAACTCACTAGGGTAGGGATATTTTTTTTGACACTAAAGGGAAAATTCAGAAACTAGCTTGTGTATCAGAGACGGATGAAAGTTCTCTAATCTGAAAATGTGTCCGAATTTTTCTGGTTCCATATATTCTCAGATGGGTGTGAAAGCTTATGTGCACATTCCTGTTTACCCAGAAATAATAGGATACAAATTAAGAAAGAAATTGATGGAATTTCCTGCCAAGTTTATGGCACATGTTACAAAATAGGATTGAGACCCAGCTTTTGAATGTGTATGCTTCAAAGCTGCATTTAGAAGCAATGCTTTTTAGGTACAGTTATTTTTTCTTTTAGAATTGGAGATTTCGCATGCTCAATGGCACTTCTGTCACAAAAGCAATAGCTTCTTTATAAATAAAAAGATTAGAGTTCAAGGAAGTCCAGAAGCAGCCCTTCTTTCCTCAGTAAGCATCTTTTAAAAGCAGGCATTGAAGACTATTTGATTGTTTTAATACCTCTGAAATTCAGATGAAAAGAAATTAGACAGATTTGTTGATGGTTTTGATTATTTGTTGTTTATTTTTATATTCATCAATGTGAGAATAAAATGTGAGTTCCTTCTCAGTGTTCCTTTATTTGTATTTTTAATTTTTATTAGTGAAGCACCATGAGGTACAGTTGTAGACTTACAAATGTTGGGGCTTGGATTTCAATTATACAATGATCAAATACCCATCCTTACACCAGTGCCCATTATCCACCACCACGGGACCCAGTATCCCTCCCACCCCCCATTGCCCCCATCCCACCCTGCCTCTGTGGCAGGGCATTCCCTTTTGTTCTCTCTCTCCTTTTGGGTGTTATGGTTTGCAAAAGAGGCATTGAGTGGCAATCATGTTTGGTCTATAGTCTACCTTCAGCTTGCTTCTCCCATCCTGGGAGGATCCTCCAAACACCATTTACTTGGTGCTCCCTTCTCTATCTGAGCTCTTTTTACCCTTAGCATGTGTGGCTGGCCTCCAAGCCATGGAACAAACTTCCTGGCACTAATATAGGCCACTCTTGAGTGTTAGTCTCCGATTTTGTTACTTTATGTTCCCCATATGAATGCAATCTTTTTTTTTTCTATCCATCTCTTTCTGATTCATTTTGCTTAACATGATACTTTCCATGTAGTACCACTTGTATGTAAATTTCATGACTTCATCTTTTCTAACAGCTACATAGTACTCCATTGTGTAGATGTAACAAAGCTTCTTTAACCACTCATCTGTTCTCGGGCACTCAGGTTTTTTTCCAGATCCTGGCTATTGTAAACACTACTGCAATGAACAAACAAGTGCAGATGTCATTACGGCTATACTTTTTTTTTGCCTCTCTTTGATATATTCCCAGGAGCGGTATTGCTGGGTCAAATGGGAGCTCAATTACTAATTTTTGGAGAATCGACCATACTGTTTTCCAAAAGGGTTGAATCAGTCAGCATTCGCAGCAGAGTAAAGGAGGGTCCCTTTCTCGCCACATCCACGCCAACACTGGTCGCTTTTGTTCTTTTGGATATGGGCCCGTCTCTGTGGTGTGAGATGATATCTCATTGTTATTTTGATCTACATCCTCCTGATGATTAATTATGTAGAGCATTTTCTCATGTGCCTTTTAGCCATTCTGACTTCTTCTTTGTCAAAGTTTCTATTCATTTCATCTCCCCATTTTTTGATGGGGTTGAATGTTTTCTTTTTGTGGAGTTGAACCAGTATTTTGTATACCCTTGAAATTAACCCCTTATCAGATGTGTAGTTGGCGAATATCCTTTCCCATTCTGTAGACTGTCTTTGTATTTTGCTCACTGTTTCTTTTGAGGTGCAGAAGCTTCTTAGTTTAAGATAGTCCCATTTGTCTATCTCTGTTTTCACTTGCTTGGCCAGTGGCAAGACATCTTTGAAGATACCATTAGCTTCAATATCATGGAGGGTTTTGCCAACTTTGTCTTCAATGTACCTTATGGATTCTGGTCTGATGTTGAGGTCTTTAATCCATGTTGATCTTACTTTTGTACTTGGTGTTAGGCAGAGATCTAAGCCCACTTTTTTGCATGTAGCTGTCCAGTTTTGCCAGCACAATTTGTTAAAGAGGCTTTCCTTGTTCCACTTCACATTTCTTGACCCTTATCAAAGATTAGATGATCATATGCTTGGGGGAAGACGTCAGTTTATTCTCCCCTGTTCTATTGGTCTGCAGCTCTGCCTTTGTTCCAGTACCACACTGTTTTAATTATTACTGCTTTGTAGTAGCGTTCGAAGTTAGGGAGGTTGATTCCTCCCATTTTCTTTTTCCCAAGAATTGTTTTAGCTATTCGTGGGAGATTATTGTTCCATATAAATGTCAGGAGTGTTTGCTCCATTTCTTTGAAGAATATCATGGGTATCGTAATAGGGATCACATTGAATTTGTACAGTTTTTTGGGAAGTATTGCCATTTTGACAATGTTAATTCCCCCAATACATGAACAGGGGATATTTTTCCAATACCTCATGTCCTCTTTTATTTCCTGAAGTAGCGTTTTGTAGTTTTCTTTGTACAGGTCCTTTACTTCCTTAGTTAAGCTGTTCCTAGGTACTTGATTTTCTGAGGCACAATTGTGAACGGGATTGTTTTCTTCATGTCACTTTCTTCTCTTTCACTATTTGCGTATAGAAGGCCATGGACTTTTAGGTATCGATATTATAGCCTGCCACTTTACTACACAAGTCTATTGATTCTAGGAGTGACTTGGTAGAGGTTTTAGGGTTCTTTAAGTATAGTATCTTATTATCTTCCAATAATGAGAGCTTGATTTCTTCCTTTCCTACCTGAATGCCCTTAATATCTTTTTCTGGCCTAATCGCTATTGCAAGTATTTTCAGTACTATATTGAACAGTAGTGGAGAGAGTGGGCATCCTTATCTCTTCCCTGATCTTAGGGGGAAGGCGCTCAGTTTTTCTCCATTGAGGATGATGCTTGCTGTAGGCTTGTGGTAGATGGCTTTAACTATATTGAGGAAAGTCCCCTCTATCCCCATTTTGGCGAGGTTTTCATCATAAATGGGTGCTGATCATGTCAAATGCTTTTTCTGCATCTATTGATATGATCTATTGATATGATCAATTTGATCGGGGGCTGGAGCGATAGCACAGCGGGTAGGGCATTCGCCTTACAAGCGTCCAACATGGCTGACCCGAGTTCGATTCCTCCGCCCCTCTCGGAGAGCCCGGCAAGCTACCGAGAGTATTCGATATGCCAGACACAGTAACAACAAAGTCTCCAATGGAGACGTTACTGGGCCCGCTCGAGCAAATCGACGATCAACGGGAGGGCCTTTACCTTTTTACCTTTTATTGATATGATCATATGATTTTTATCCTTTCTTTTGTTGATATGATGGATTATGTTGATTGATTTCCGATGTTCAACCATCCTTGCATCCCGCGGATGAATCCCACTTGGTCATGGTGTATGATCTTTTTGATGAGTTGTTGAATTATATTTGCTAGTATTTTGTTGAGAATATTCACATCTGTGTTCATCGAGGATATTGGCCTGTAGTTTTCTTTTCTTCCTTCCTGATTCACTCGTTGCTCAGCATTGAGATGTTTAATTTCCAGGTGTTTGATTCTCCGTGTCTATGTATGATTCACTTCTATTCTCAGTGCATCATGTTCTGAAAAGATTGTTGATACTACTTCTATCTTCCTGAATCTGTTGAAGTATGTTTTGTGGCCTAGCATATGGACTATTTTGGAAAAGGTTCCTTGTGCACCCGAGAAGTATGTGTATTCTTTCTTTTGGGGGTCTAAAGCCTTGTGGGTTTATAAGCCCTTACTCTTCTATTTCTTCCTTCAAAGCCAATGTTTCCTTGCTGTGTTTGGTTCTTGTTGATCTATCCAGAGGTGATAAGGTGATGTTGATGTCTCCAGGTACTATTGTGTTGCTAGCAATATCCTCCTTAAAATCTGTTAGCAGTTGTTTTAAATATTTAGCTGTTCCCTCATTAGGTGCGTATACATTTAAGAGTGTGATTTCTTCCTGTTGTACGTATCTCTTGATGAAGAGAAAATAGCCTTCGCTGTCCCTTCTAATCCTTTTCAACCTGAAATTAATGTTGTTGGATATTAGTATGGCTGCCCCAGCTTTTTTGAGGGAGCTTTTTGCTTGCAGGATTGTTTTCCATCCATTAACTTTGATTCTGTGTTTGCTCTGACTGTTGAGATGAGTTTCTTGTAGGCAACATAATCTTGGGTTTTGTCTCAGAATCCATTTTGCCCCTCTGTGTCTCTTAATTGGTGAATTTAGACCAATGACATTGAAAGAGATTATTGGTATGGGGTTTTGTGTCATCTTTCTGTAAGGATTTGTTGTGGTTGTAGGGTTTATCTTGTCTTATAGTAGCCACTTTAGCCCTTCTTTTTGGTTTGGTGTTGAGTCTATGAAGTTCCTGAGCTGCTGTT